GGGGCAGGGCTAGGGCAGGACGGGGGCGGGGCTCCTCCCGTCCTCTTTTTTGCTTGCTGAAATATGGTAACCCTAGCATATGAGGATCCCAAGCACTAGGCAGCTGCGGCTCGGTGTCTGTGGGGCTGGGAGCCCAGCTCACAGGGCCGGGATTCTGGGTGGGGGGAGCTCTGGGATCTGGGAGAGAATCTCTGCCTGGGGGGCCCTGGATCTGCCCATGGCTGCAGCTGGCCGGGGAGGCCGGGGCTGGGTGGGTGCCCGGGTCTGGCTCTCACAGCCTGTCTCCTGTGCGCAGATCCCAGCTTACCCAGACCCTCCATCTCTCTGAGCCTCACTTTGGTCACTGCCTCAGGGGCAGACGTCACCATCCGGTGTCAGGGGCAGCGCCGGGACGTGACGTTCTTCCTGCACAAGGCCGGAGACCTGAACCCACAGCGACACATGGACCCTGCTGGGGACGGGGCCGAGTTCCTCATCCCCACCGTGGGCCGGCAGCACGGAGGGAGCTACAGCTGCAGCTACCGGAACCGATCAGAGCCCTTCATCTCATCACTGCCCAGTGACCCCGTGCAGCTGGTGGTAGCAGGTGAGGGGCCCGGCTCGGCGTCCCCGCTCCCAGCCCCACCCCCAGCCAGTCCCTCGCGGGGGGCTCCATGCTGATGGGATGCTCAGAGCCAGGCTCTGTCCTGAGCTCTGGGCCCAGCAGAGGGGACGCCCGGCTGCGGAGCGGAGACGGCATAGGTGACCGGTATAATATGGAGCTGCTGCCGAGGGATGCTGGCCTGGTGTCGGGGCCTGGGGGCTGGGGCTGTTCGGCATAGCACAGGGCTGGGGTCGCTCGGCATAGCATGGCTGGGGCCTGGTCAGTTGGCTGGTGGGGCTGACCCGGGACTGGGGCTGGACTGGGGTTGCTCTGGTGGCAGGGGTGGGGCAGGGGTTCTAGCTGGGCAGGGAAGGGGGCCCCCTCGGCCAGTTAAACAGGCTCATTCTGCCCAAGGAGCCGCCCCCAGGGGGAGCCACAAAGGGCTGGGGCTGGGTGGGGAGAATGGCTGGAGTTACTAGGGGTATGTGGGGCCCAGACGCCGGGAGAGAGACACCAGCAGCCAGTGAGGTAGAAACCTGCACCAGCAATGCAGGGACCCTGCGAGCGGGGAGCCAGGGGAAAGGGACCCGGTGGTCGAGCTGTGTCATCGAAGGGGCCAGGCAGAGAGCTGGCAGGGGGAAAGTCCCGTTGAGAAGGGACAGAGATGGCAGGAACAGGAGGAGGCAGACAGAGGAAAGACAGAGGCATGAGGGGGAAAGTTAAAGGAAGAATCAGGCAGTCAGGGCCGGCTTTAGGAAGTGCGGGGCCCAATTCCAACAGTTTCGACGGGGCCCCGACAGGGATGACTTAAAAAAAAAAAAAAAAAAAAACCACGTGGGGCTTGTACTCACCGGGCTGCACTCCTAGTCTTTGGCGGTGGGTCCTTCACTCGCTCCAGGTCTTCGGCGGCACTGAAGGACCCGCCGCCAAAGTGCCGCTAAAGACCTGGAGTGAGTGAAGGACCCGCCGCCAAAGACCCAGAGCACCGCCAGGTGAGTAAAAATTAAAAAGGCGCCTCTAGCCAGGGAAGGGATTCTCTGCCACTTGTCCCCCACTCTGGGCGGCCCTGCCACTGAGTGTGGGGCCCTCTTAGGCGCGGGGCCCGATTCGGGGAAATTGGTGGAATTGGCCTAAAGCCGGCCCTGCAGGCAGTGAAACACAAAGAAAAAAGAGTCTCTAAGTTACCAAAGCAATTGTTAGAAAACCGCAGGAGAAGTGAAGCACGAAAGAAACGTGACAGAAATCAGCTGTGAGCAAAGAGAAACGGGCTGGAGAAATGAGGAGGAAGTGAGCTGGAGCGAAAGTAAAGCAAATAGTACGGACAAAACGTCCCCCCAGCACCTTCAGGGGCAGCGACAGGAAGAAACAAATGGCCTGAGAGCAAAGGGACTCTAGATAAAGCAGCGGAGGGACAGTTGTTCAGTTGAGAAGCCGACCCATCGCCTGGAGAAATAGCTGCAGGTATCTGAGCTGGAACTCAGAGCAGCAAACAGAGACGGCGCAAGGGGATGGCTCCAAACACAACAAACCAGCCTAAGAACAGAGAAGCGGCGAAGGGACCGTAGAGCGGTGGGGTTCTGCCCTAGTGCCTTGGACGTTCTAACGCCAGATCCTGGTGCTCCAGGAATGTAAATTGTTGCCCAGGAAGTGGGTTGAATTCAGCCAATGGTAGTTACTGTACAGGCGAGCTCAGCAATAGTTCCCAGTGTGACCCTACCCAGCAGTTCCCGCTACACCAGCGAACTCTGATTCACTTGTGATCATTCCCCACTGAACTGATTTCTCCTTCCCCAGCTGATGGAGATAAAACGCAATTGGCCTCTAGTTCCCCTTGGCCTTTCCTTGCCCTGCCCCAGCCATCCCTCCACGGGCTCCTTGCAGATGGATCCGCGCCGTTGCCCTGCTGAGGGGTGGGGGACCCCGTGTCTCTTGTGTCGCTAGCCCAGCTCTCTCGGTCTTGGATTCGGGGGAAAAGCATCCAGGAGACTCTCCCTGCAGGTTCCTGTTTCGGCCTCGTCACTGGGGCCGGGCTGTGTGGACGGGGCACAGAGACCGTGCCGGGGTCTGTGTCTCACGGTCTGTCTCCTCCTGCCCCATGGAGCTGGTGATAGCAGGTGAGGGGCCTGGCTCAGCATCTCTGCTCCCAGCCCCACACCCAGCTGCGCGCTCAGGGAGTCTCAGAGTGAGTCTGGGCTGTCGGAATTAGCTCCTCCTGGTTTGATACAGCCCCGTTTGGCAGACAAGCTCCCCTGTAGCTCTATAGACACAGGGACCTTCCTCCTCCGAAATAGGAACAGCCGCGCCCAGACCTGCTCCGCAGTGACTCCAGGTGTGAATGGCACCTGGCTGGGGCAGGGACCGTCTCTGTGTCGTGTGTCTGTACAGCTCCGAGCACACGGGGGAACTGGCCCACGACAGGGGCTCCTGGTAATTAATACTAGTCAGTAATGATTTTGGTTCCAGTTTCCGTGGACCCAGGCAGGGGCTGTATCTGCGCTCAAAGTCTCGCTGGGCCGATCCTCCCCGTTCTGAGACCCCTGGGGTGCTGAGCCGGCCCGAATCCCTGGGTCCCGTCCTCTCCCCGGGGACGCTGGCTCAGCCCGGGGGAAGAGCCGCCATTGCCGGTTGCGGGTGGGGGTGTGTGTCCCTGTATAACTAACCACACACACCAGAGTTCCAGCTTTCTCACCCCCGCACCCCACCCCTGACAGACACTGGTTCTATTCCCGCAGGGGGAAACAACCAGACTCAGACGGGAACGACACCGGCTCCCACCTGCCCAGGCAGCTCGGGGCCTGGTACCGGGGCTGGCAGGGGGGAATCACCATCAAACCAGCCCTGGAAACAGCCCCACCCTGGGGACCCCACAAACCGGGGTGCTGTGCTGCCCACTGGCACCACAATGCAACCCATGTGGGGCACAGCTCGGTGCGTATCCCCCTGGGAGAACGGCACCAGGGATAATGATCCTGTGTATCCCGTCTGTCTGCCTGAGTCTGCAGACAGCCCAGTGGAACGGCTCAGAAGCAGGGCTCCCCCTTCGCTGGGGTGCTGCCCAGTGTGGCATTAACCCTGGAACCTCTCAATCCAGATAGACATGGTGTTAACACTTGAACCCACCGATCCAGAGTGACATGTTGTTGACTCTGGAACCTAATGATGGTCACTGCGATGACAGCACCGTTACGTCTTCTGCTGCTGTTCACTTCACCAGGGCATGGTTCTCCCAATGATCTCAAAACACCCTCCCTGGCCAGAAGCCCCCTCCACTGCCATCCCCCCACCCATATGATTCCTACGCAGAAGTGAGCTGAAGCTGCTGAGAAATTCCCAGGACAGGGGCAGGACCCAAGTGGGGGGCTGCTGCAGGATCTGGGCCCAGCTGGCTTCACAGGGGCCTAAGATACAACCCGCACACACCCTGCCCCCACCCCAGTACAGCCGTCTGCCGTTGGGAGTGAACCCCCTGACCACTATTACCCAGAATCCCCTCTGCTCCTGCCCCCCACTAGCCCCATAGAGTGTTCTGCTGTGGGTCCCTGGGTCCTCGAATGGGAGGGGCTGGGGCAGCTGGTAACGAACCAGCCACTCACGGTGCTCACCGCCTGGTGCTGCTTCCCAGGGATATCGGAACCAAGTGCAGCACCGGTTCTGACCTGCACCATCATCGCCGGGGTGAGCACGGCGGCCACCGTCCTCCTCTTCCTGCTCCTCCTCCTGATCTTCCTCTGCTACAGAAGAATCCGAGGAAGTGAGTGCCCTGCCCAGTGAGGGAAGGGTTAAACCCGCTGCTAAGCTGGGCTGGGAGGGGTCACGGCTTGGATGGGAGACAGGGAAGGAAACCCAGGGGGTGGGGCAGGGGCCCAGCAGGGGGCGCTCTCCCCTGGCAGTGAGAGCTGGTCCCAAAGCCCCTGGGCAGCACTAGGGGGCGCTGTGCTGCAAAGGGTATAGGCCCAGCAGGGGGCACGGTGCTGCAGGGGGTGGGGCAGAGGGCTCACTAGGGGGCGCTGTGGTGCAAGGGGCAGGGACCTGCCTCTAGGGTATCCAGGCTCAGCAGCTAGAGGGTGAGGTGCTCCCCAGGCAGAGCAGTGGGGGGGGGGGGCTCTCTCCTGGCCCCCCATCCCAGATGCCCTGTAGGGCTGAGGGGCAGGGCTGGTACACGGGATCCGGGTTGACTCATGAATGATTCTGCTTTGTCTCCGCAGGGAAAGGACCAGCCCTGAGACAGAGCAGGTGAGACCTCAGCTCCGCTCCCCACCCCGATCTACCTGCCCAGGACACAGGACTCCTGGGTTCTCTCCCCAGCTCAGAGAGGAGATTAGGATCTAATGGTTAGATCAAGAGGGCTGGGAGGCAGACCTCCTGGTTCTCTCCCTAGCTCTGGGAGGGGAGTGGGGTCTAATGGTTAGATTGGAGTCGGCTGGGAGCCAGGACTCCTGGGTTCTCTCCCTGGCTCTGGGAGGGGAGTGAGGCCTAATGGATAGATGGGGGGGGCTAGGAGGCAGGACTCCTGGGTTCTGTTACTATCTTTCTCTCTTTCTCCCCGTAGGGAGTCCGAGGCTGCAGCCACAGTCTGTAAGTCACACATGAGGGGGCAGCCATGGAGCAGGGGGGAGGGGCGGGTGCCCCTGGCAGGGGCCACATCCTGTGTGGGGGGCATGCTGATGTGGGGTGCAGCCTTGATTCACTGTGTGCCTTTGGGGGCACCCCTGCCCCCCTTTGTGCCTCAGTTTCCCCCGCTGCACCATGGGGCTTGTAACCCTGCCCCACCCCAGTATGCCGGGGGGCAGGTGAGCCAGTCTGCGAACGGCTCAGATGTGGGCGGGGGCCTGGGCCCGGGGCCCTGATCTGGGCCCAGCCGCTCACTGGTGGGTGTCTCTATTCCACAGACGCCCTCATGGGTGAAGGGAAGCAGCTGGATGTCCTGGTAAGTGCCCCCCACTCCTCGACACACACACCCCAGCACCAGTGCACCATCCAACCTCCACCCACCCCCGCCATCCGGCCCTGCACAGGTCCCACTAGAGCCATGTTCAGATGTCGGCCCCCCCAACTCTGCTTGGGCCCCCCATACCTCCTCAGGGCAGACACCGGAGCTGGGGATCAGCAACGGGGACTCCCCTGAGAGGGGCGGGAGACTCAGAACACAGAGAATAAGAGCCTGACCCTGCACCCCCCAACTCACCTTGACCCCCCTCAAACGTTCGC